TGAAAAAGTGGGTGTACATGATGTCCACCGAGCTTCCTCTGTCGAATAGGATACGTCTGACGTCGAAGTTTACCATCTGTGCCTATATCAGGAGGGGAATGTTCGAGTTGGGGGAACCCCCGTGGAGTTCCTCGAGGTAGAAAGTGATCGGGTTGGACCGACAACGGAATTTGTCGAGGGTGCTCATTTTGACAGAGTTGTTGGTGATGAGTTCCTCGAAATTCCTCTTTATCGATCCCACGGATAGGTTCCTCGGGGATCCGCCAGAGATGACCATGGCCTTCGGAAAGTACTCCCATCGGCTGGTGGGGCGTACAGGCTCGTCGGGCAAATCAAGCTCGACGGGGAGGCCGAACTCTCTGAGGGCGAACCAATCCTCAGGACGGCTGACGCTGAGGGCAACCTGCAGACCGTTGTCACCGTCAGGAGAAGGGAGGTCCTCGACTCTTTTGGCCTCAGGGGCATCCTGCCGCGGGGCTTCTCCCCCCGGGTGTACCTTTTCAGGTGTTCGTCCTTGATCAAGATTTCGATTGCGTCCTTCAGGTGGATGCAGTCTTCTGTAATATGCCTGTGGCTTTTGTGGAAGCGGCAGAACTTCGATTTGTCCATGTTGGGCTTGGGGGGTGTCAGCCTGGGGAAGCGGACACCTGCCTGGACAAACTCCATTTTGGTGCACTCGGCCAATATGCGCTCTCGGGAAGCGACTAGAGCTGTGTACTCTGTAAATCGGCCAGCAGGACCGCATTGCTCGCGGGGACGATCCTCCCGTTGACGATCTCCTCCGCGTCGGTGGCTCGAGGCTCCATCCTCTCGGGACCCGCAGGGGGGTCTCTCGGTCTCGAGTGTCGCGGGCAGAGTTGGCCGCTTGAGTCTCCTCGAACCCGATGTAATGCGTGGCTCTGTCGAGGAAGTCTTGTAGAGAGGCTGGTTGGTGTATGGCCACAGCCTCGTAGAATTTGGAGTCTCAGAGCAAGCCTTGCTCCATCAGGTAATGTTTCATCTCGTCTGATGTTGTTACCCGCACTACCTCCCGGGTGAACCTTTCGATGTACTTCCGGAGGGGTTCGTCGGGGGTCTGGATTATGGCGCCCAGTGTAGCCTCTGTCTTCGGGTGACGTCGGGATGCTATGAAGTGTCTTGAAAAGAGGTCTTTCATGACCCTCCATGACGTGACGGATTCCGGCTCCAGACTTTTGTACCACGTCACGGCACCCTTCCTCAGCGTCGTCGGGAAGAGTATGCACTTGATAGCTCTTCAGACATTTTGATAATCGAGCATGGCCTCGATATCCTACAGGTGGTCGTCTGGGTCGGAGGTACCGTCATACGTCGAGAGTGATGGGGGCTTCTCCATTCCGTGGGGGATGGGAGCCTCCATGATCTCCCGAGACAGGGGGGGTCCTCTAGTCGTCCTCGTCACTGAGAATTGGAGACTGAGGGGGTGTTGGCACTGGTGGTGGAGGCGTTTGATTTCGTTCCCTCGGCCGCCTGACCGGGGGTTCGACCAGCGGAGGTCTGGCCGGGGGATCCACCCTGGCCGACCGTTGCTCCCGGACTTGTCTCCTGGGCAACCTGGTTCGTTCCCGCACTGCTTCAGGTTGAGGCCTCTCTAGCCGAGGTCGACGATTTCTGGGACAAGGGGACGAACTCGTCGAGTTTCCGTTCTAGTCTTCCCGCGGAAGGGACCTCAACGGGGCTTCATGCTCTAGTGCACCAATCTGTGCGTTCTGTTGAAACAGCAGCTGATTTGTTTGGTTGATGGTCACGAAGAGGGCGACCACCGTCGGGTCTGCTCCGGCCGGGACATGGATGGGCTGGAATGCTGTCGGGCTCCTTGGTCGAAGAACAGTTTGGTGTGCCGCTTCTTCGGACGAGAGGGAGGCAGTCTGGCTGTCCCTCTCGTTGGTCTCCGGAGGTTGGGATGCCTCCGTTTGCTTGCCACCATTCGCGGCGGGAGCAAGGATGAGGTCGTGAACAACATCGTCGTGGTGTGGGCTAGACATGATCGTGAAATATTGATGAAACTTTGGTTCTCTGCTTGGAGGAACGGGGAAGTTTTATATTCCCACAGACGGCGCCACTGATCTGACCTGATCAGAAGGGGACCATGGACTTGCCACACGCCGTTGATCTGCTGCCTGTTCACCGGTGTCGAAAAGGAGATGGGGGTGTACCTGCAAGACACTCTGATACCAAAGTAAGAGTTTGGACAGAGTGACAACAAATACAGAAAAAGGATAAGAAGAGAATACCTGGCCCTCTTGGGGAAGAGGGTATTTATAGAGAGACCCCAGCGCTAGGCCAACTGTCACTTGTGTTGGGTTGGATTGCCAGGCCCAACCCAGGTGACTGCTAGGGCTTACGTGGCATAGTGAAGACCGGAACATGGTCTTCGCCCTAGTTCAACTGCTCCGTGGACTCCAGAAAGTGGGTTGACTTGCTCTTTCGGCAGTGGGCGGTTGGTTGAGGATGTGTCCCCGCGGAGGGGAGCACGTGGAGAACGTGTGAAAGACACGTTGTTCTACTCGACAAGGGAGAAGGTTCTGCCTGCGGAGGGGCCATTGTCTGCCCGGCGGGAACCATGTGCTCGACGGATGTAGCCCAAGTCGGATTGGGCCTAACTAAGTATCATTGGGCTGGGCCTGCCCGGTCAAGCCGGGGTCCAGGCCAGAACAATATTAATTGAAATACCTCAAAGAACACTACAATTGTATCATGTTAAATGAGGAATCCACCGAGTATGAGAAGATACTTAAAACTCGATGCTATATTTTGATATTATTTGGTCATTTTTTATTTCTAGACAGTACTGGAAATACTGTAAATATTATGTATTTACCGTTGTTGCACAACATTAATAAAGTGTGCACATTAGTTGGGATTCAACTGTCCTCGCCCATCTATATAGTTCATTATGTAAAAATGCAAAAAAAAAAAATCTTATACTTTTTATGGCTGCGCCTATCTCCTTCAAGCGTGGGGTTGGTCTAGGATGCCAACACTTGCTCCAATCAACCGCAATCCGTTCACATTCCCCTACGCTAACAAATAAATTTATTTTCAATACGAGTATACAAACAATATTTCTTTGTAACTTAATTATTTGTGTAATGTTTCTTAGTAACTAATTTATTTGTGTTTTTTTTTTTTTTAGGTGGTCTGTTCCGGGAATGAATTACCAAAGATGTCCTAGGAACTCTATAATAGTGTACCACAACCTTATAGAACACATTGGGCCAGATGATGTAATTTATCTACCATTACTTTGTCTAATTGATAACCACATACTTGTATTTCTCATTACATATATTGTTAATATAGTTTGTCTGGATGTCGTACGAGGGTTTCAACCACCAGCCCAACGCCAATGATGTTGCTGTGTGGACATCTAAAACATCTATCATTTGGTCCACTATAGTGGCGATGCACCAAAGTGACCGGGTGAAACTGCAGTCCGGGATGCATCAGGATATTCCAGTTGCTCCAACGTCATTGGAACACTGACATCAACTAAAGGTGGATACACAATGGAGTGTAAATCATTGGAGGGACTTTGCGAAAGAGTTGTGTCTGCATTGGAAGAACCGACATCAACACATCTTAACCGACCCTATTGTGGAAGGGGCTAGACCAAGTTATCAATATATAATTTGGTTTAGGTCGGTTACAACATCACAACAATTTGTGTCTAAGCCGACATATTTGATTGACCCAAGGCAACATGCGTCTTCCTCGAACCAATAGTAGTAACCCAATGCCCAACATCAAACATCATGTTATACCTAAAATCCAACTATGCCTACCCAATCAATCTTCTAAAACCGCAACCCATACATGCCACCAACCCAATCACAACAACAAGAGCCTTACCCCTACCGCCAGCCTTCCGAAACCGACACCACTTCTGCATATAGCCCTGATACATCTTTTGACCATACCCCATCCACCTATAGCCCAGATAACTCTTTTGACCCCACACCAGCCAATTAATCTTCCTACCAACAAAATACTTATCCATTTTTTGACTACCAAACCCCATAACAACCATTACATCGTTTCCAAACTGATTCGATGTACCAATTCGGACAACCATACCGTCTACACCCCACCCAACCTCACCAACAAAACTATGAAAACATGGACATTAAACTTAATTACGGAAGCGCCGTTGGCAACGACCCGCCCGACTATTGGGGTCAAATGCTTCAAAATTTATCTGATACGTTGAGCCATCTGAACAAATACCTTTTCCACAGGTCAACACACAAAGACCAAAAACATCTCAACAACCTCGTGGTAGACCTCGACGTCGCGCGAATCCTCCCCAATGTGGTATCGTTGGTCGTTTTGATAGAGTCGGTCATTGATTTTTCTTTTTTCATCTGTTGTACAATTTGAAGTTTTTTTATATTATAAATATTATAATTTGTTATTTCTTTTATTTATATATTTTTTTACAAAATATTAAAAATAATAAAATTTTAATTATATCTTTTTTAAACAAAAATTAAATATTATATAATAAAAAATCCTACAATTGAGGCACCATATAGTATGACAACTCAATATAGGATAATGCAACTAATTTATAACTTATACGCCATATGAAATGACGACTGAGGAATTTAATTTAATTTAATATTTTATTTGAAAAACCATCTTATCTTAAAAAAAAATTCTAAAAGTTTCATTATGTAAGTAAAACTCTTGGTAATAAAGAATTTGACTTTTTTTAATCTAAAAGAAAACATCCCACTTGGGAAATTTAAAGTACATATAGTGTAGTGACCTACCTACCGACTCCATGATTTACGAATCTCTGCACAAATTGAAACATCCCAATACGATGACAAAACCGAAACAAACAAAACTCCTAGGAACCCAAAACCAAATTCGCATGAATCACAAAAATCCTAGGAACTACCAAACCATCAACTTCTTCACTTTCAAAGTTTCAAATCACCCTTCTCATTCTCTCTTCTCAATCGCACCCTCCCACCATGTCCTGGCTAAGAACAATCCTCCGAACAACCACCCTCTCTCAACCATCTTCTCTTCTAACCCACCTCCGTCTCATGAGCAACCTCCCAGAAAACACCGTCTATTCAGGACCAACACCACAGAACCAAAGGGTAACACTTTCACAACTGCGACAAAAACATCGAAACTCACAACCCATTACTATGGTCACTGCTTACGATTACCCTTCTGCTGTTCACCTCGATATGGCCGCCATTGATATTTGTCTTGTGGGTGATTCTGCTTCCATGGTTGTTCATGGTCATGATACTACTCTGCCTATTACGTTAGATGAAATGCTTGTTCATTGTCGGTCTGTTGCTCGTGGCGCGAAGACTCCTCTTCTTGTTGGTGATTTACCTTTTGGAACGTATGAGTGTAGTTCTAAACAGGTAGGGTTTGTTTATTTGTTTTAAAAGATTGGATTTTTCGTCTTTGTTGAGTTTTTGGTTGTTGGGAAAGTTGTGAAAGTAGAATTTTTTGTCGAGTCTGTCCAAAGTTCATGAGAAAGTTTGCTTTTTTGTTGTTTTCTATGTGTATTTGTGTGTAGGGTTTTGAAATTGTTTGTGTTGTGGTGTTTGCAATAGAATGAATTAGCTTGTTTTGTTTTGTTCCGTCAAATTATTAAAAAAATACATAAACAATTGAGTAAAATCTCTGTTTCATTCCGCCTCGTTCCACTCCATTTCATCATGTTTTATTCCGTTCTGCTTCGTTGTAGTCCATCAATCCGAATAGAGCCTTAAGAGCAAGAATTCTGGCATTAGGGTTCATACGGGCCGATTCTTTGTTGTTTGTTACACAACCGTGATAGCACCCCTTTGATGATAATTGGATGTCTCATATTGTGAATTGCATTTTTAAAGTTGGTTTGATGAAGTTGGAGTACTAGTTGTCTAATGTTGATCCAACGGCTGAGATTTCTTGATTGCGTGGCTACACGCTTTTCTGACTAGAGAATCTGTGTCTGAGGTTGTAAACCTTTGTAATTTTCAATCAGAGTGCGATTTGTTTCTTTTGGACTTGAATGGAACATGTTTGATTGTTGTTGTTTTAACTTTCTATATGACGAGGTTTTTAAGTGTTGTTGTTTTGATTATAAGCAGGCGGTTGATACGGCAGTTAGGATTTTGAAAGAAGGACGAATGGATGCCATAAAATTGGAAGGAGGTTCGCCTTCAAGAATTGTTGCAGCAAAAGCTATTGTTGAAGCTGGAATAGCCGTGATCGGCCATGTTGGTCTTACACCACAGGCCATTAGTGTTTTAGGTGGATTTAGGCCTCAGGGAAGAAATGTTGCTAGTGCCGTCAAGGTCGATATCTCTATTTTCTCATTCTTGATGTAACTATTTTTGCATTTGAAAACTAAATTGTTTTCCTAAACGGAATGAATCTGTGTAGGTTGTCGAAACGGCATTGGCTTTGCAAGAAGCAGGGTGTTTTGCTGTTGTTCTAGAATGTGTTCCTGCACCGGTGGCTGCCGCAACAACAGCAGCACTTCAAATTCCAACGATTGGAATCGGGGCTGGACCCTATTGCAGTGGACAGGTCAGTTGGCTTAGTCTCACTTAAGATCATTTTCACTTTAATCAGTGTTGTTAAATAGCCTCAAAGGTTGGCCTGTTGGTGAATGCTTGGGACCTGAGAGTATGCTTCTCTCAAAGTCTCAGGTTCAAATCCCGCAAAGTGCTAACAATCCATGTGTTGAGTCAGTCCATACAGAGATTTCTGCGTTTAAATGGGAGCCGCTATTGAGTCACTATAGCATCGCGGATATTTCTAATTTAGTTTTATTAATCATCATGCAGGTGCTTGTTTACCATGATCTTCTTGGTATGTTACAACACCCTCACCATGCAAAGGTATTTACATAAAATGTTAATCTTGATTTTCTTTCAAATTTTATAGGATATAATGATTCAATGCTGAAGTTGAGAGGACCCTATTTTCTTGCAGGTTACTCCAAAATTTTCTAAACAGTACGCCCGTGTCGGAGATGTCATCAATAAAGCGTTACTTGAGTACAAGGAAGATGTGACAAATGGTTCATTTCCTGATGCTAAACACAGTCCTTACAAAATCAGTGAAACTGATGCTAATGGTTTCTTAAATGAGCTGCAAAAGTTAGGTTTCGACAAAGCAGTATCCGCGGCATCTGAAGCAGTTCAGAAGATGGTTACAAAATCAACAAAGTGACAATTTAGTAAAGCTGCGTAATCCTCCTCCATTTTTCATTTGATGTTCTTCGTCGTCTTCAATGACAAAATAAATCGAAGAACATAAACATAATTTGAGCGGGACAGACAAATAGATAGATTTTCTATCATTTTCATAAGGCAGATTGCTTCTATTACTCAAATTCATGAAATTTTCTTGTTATGTTATAGAAACATATTTTTGTCATCCCACATCACAGAAAGAAATGTTTTGAAGCATTGGATTCAAAGCAAAATGTTGAAAACCGAGTTTGTCAAACATTGTAAAGTTAGTTTTCTAATTTATTTGCAGTGCATAATGATCTGCTATTGCAATCATACAATAACTTAACATCATGTTTATTTTTTGATAGGTTTTGATTTAGATTGTAATGTGAAGCAAAGTCTCTGTGTCTCTTTGTTATTTAGCTTCTTGATTTGATTGTGTAAGCAATATTGAGCAAGAATGAGCACTTGCTGAGTGCTTTTGCGTTTTGCTTTGCTCATTTTCTACCCAAGCCACCTTTAAAAATTCAGAAAGAAACCTTCTACAATTCAGACATCCATTACAAGAAAGCAACAAAGATTCTCAATTCATAGATGGTTTCTCTGCTAAAACTCACTACACTTTTTGTTTTGAAGAATCTAGTGGCAATGCTTGCATACACTAAATACATAGAAGAAATCTAGTGGTGTGTTATGAGACTCGTGTGCTTTCTAACACATCAAATTTTAGTATGTTTTATCATACTCTGAATGTATTGAAATTGTAAGAATAATTTTAAATATGTCTTTTGTTAGTATTTTTTAAATAAAAATAATCTGATTAACAAAAGGCACAATTGTGAGTAAAATTAACTAATGAAAGTCATATTTAAGGATCAAACTGACTTAGAAAATACACATTTAGATGGATGTTCTACTTTAACGACATTGCCCCTAGATGTCTTATGCTTGAGTGATCACCCACATTCAAAAGTATACACGATCAAACAAATGATTGCTAAAAAAAAAATCATTTTGGAATAGTTTCAAGAAAAAAAAAAGAAAAGAAAAAAGAAGATCAAACAAAGGATTGCTAAAAAAATATCATTCTGGAATAGTTTCAAGACAAAAAAAAAAGAAGGTGACCTTGTGCTCAGATAAGCCATGGTGCCTACTCAGATTGGAGAGTTGCTCCCCAACTAAGAAGTTCCCTATAGAATATATGAAAGGTCATCACACGCGCATACAAGCTAAAAGAGTTGGATGATAGTTTCATCCCAGGTCCTGGGACTCAGTGAGCCCGATACATTATTATAGCTAATTTTCACCTTGTCAAATGAATATGGTGATGAGTCATGCCGCCACAGATTGTGTTTCAAATTTAACATATAAATAAAGTAGTGGGGTGACACTTTTTTCCCATGCAAGGGTAAAGTTTTTAATGAGGTGTCATATTTTCTAAATATCATTTTCGTCGAGTTTATGGAAATATGATGCATCCTCTGGGGTATCATTCATCCAACGGGGTATTGTTCCACCCCACGAGGTGTCGTTATACCCCACGAGTTATCGTTGCACCTTACAGGGTATTGTTGCGCCCTATGGGACATCTTTGCACCCTACAGGGTATCCTTACATCCTATAGAGTATTGTTGCGCCCTTTAGGGTATCTTTGTGCCCTTCAAGGTAACATTGCATACTCTGAGGCAACTTAACGTCTCTTGCAAAATGGATACGTTAACAAAGGGCTTTTGGGAGGGCTCAAGTCACCTATGACATTAAAAATATTAGAAGCATCCAAACATCGACAAAAAATGCAGACAATACCGCTTAGAAATACCAAAATCAAAGGGCAAGAAAAGTTTTAAAACAACTCGCCAAAGGCGTAAGATTTCATTAATGAAAAGTGTTGCTACTCGAAAAATGCATCGTGCAACGACGGGGAGGCGAAAAGATAGACAGAAGAGTCGCCACCGAACTTTATTTATCCCATGAGGGGAAAGAAAAATATCGAGAAAATCTTAAGAAAGAAAAGGATAAGATGGTCTCGCAACCATGAACGGGTTCGGAAGCCGAATATGCGAAAGAAAGGTATTAGCACCCCTCGCATCCATCGTACTCGATGAGAACCATTTGTTTGTCGATGTGTGATAATATTTGCTTAAAGATTATGCTATAAAAGAGTGCTCCAAAAGATAAAGAAAAGGGTTTAGAAACGGGGAAAGAGAGGTAACGGGGGGACGAAGAGAAAGTACAGACTCGGTAGGACTTCGCGGTCTTAGGCCTACGTATTCTCAATAGGTATGAGAAAGTCAGAGTCGACGTAGTTCGGGGAACTACAGATATAGGGCGAATGTGCTATGCAAGGATTGTGGCCCTTGTGCCTACGTATCTTTACTTGAAGAAGTAAAGAATCAGAGCAGTCGTAGTTCGGCCTACGGTGTGCGGGGAAGTTCTGGTAGACGATGCTATCGTGCGCATTCTAGCAATTTATGTGTTTTGCTGCTCACATGTGAGGAGACTTAAGTGTTACCTGTTTGCGGTAGAACAGACGTAACATGTGTAACGCCCCGATTTCGATTGTCTCTTTTATCGAGTCCTTACTTAATTTGATTGGACGAATATTATTTTTGATATGGAATTTGTGTGGAAATATGTTAAGTTTACATATTATTCTATTTTAACCGATTTTGAGAGTTTTCGGGGAAAATAGTTTGGAGGGTATTTTGGACATTTCCTATTTAATGATAAGTAGGATATTTTATGGGATATTGAATTAATAGATGTTTTGGAGAAATAATGAGAAGGATATTAAAAGGGAAATAGAAGAGAAAAGAAACATAAGAGAAAAGGAAGGAAAGAAAAGAGGAAGAAGGAAAAGGAGGAGAAAAGAGAAGAAGAAGAAGAAAAGTGTGGGATCATCGAGAACAGCTCAAAGCTTCGATTAATCCAAGGTAAGGGTGTGAAATCTTACTATCTAAATCAATATGTATGATTATGTATGTGTATGGTTGATTGAGTTAGGGTTTTGGAAAGTTTCCTATAATTTCCGTTTTAGGTCGAAATTGATTCGATCGGTAGAAATATAGCTTTGTTTAATGAAGATGAGAATAAGTGGTAGGATTTATGTCGGGAAACGTTAGGTTATGATTACTGGAGCAAGTGGAGAATTATCGGGTGAATTTATCGGCTGTTTCGAATTCTGAACAGTGGGGAGAAGTTCTGTTCGCAGACGCTCGCTAGGCGAGCAGGTCGCGAGTGTTCGCTAGCATCTTGCTAGGCGAGTGCGTAGCGAACGGTCCCAGACTTGGGACAGAATGGTATTGTGGTCTTTCGCTAGTAGCGAAGGGAGTAGCGAAGAGCTCGCTGGGGGTTTGCTGTGGCGAACGAGGTAGCGAGCAATGTTTGGAGGTTCTGTTTGCACTCGCTAGCAGTTCGCTAGGCGAGGAGGTAGCGAACGTTCGCTAGTAGCTCGCTAGGCGAGCGTGTAGCGAATGTAGCAGAATGAGTTTCTCTCCTGTTGTGTACTGTTGTGGCTTGGGACCCTGATTGCGATCGACCTTCCCTCGATTTAAAAGCGGGTATGCTGGCCCGTGAGGTGCTGTGGGTAGCCGAATGGCGTGAATCCTAGTTTATGGTTTGTGAAGCGTGAGTGTGGCCGATCGGCAATTTTATGCAATCGCTAGATCGAATAGGATTGCATGATGAGATGATCGAGTTCGTTGCCGTCAGCATGATAATATGAATGTATGAGAACATAATAGAATTATGTGGGCATTGAGTAGTGAACATAGTGTTGGAGTGGATTACACTAGGGTAGAATGATGTGATATCATTCCTAGTTGCGGGCTCATTAGGGTAGGACGACGTGATATCGTTCCTAATGAGGCACAAACAATATTGTAGTGCGTTAGGAGTATTCCGAATGAGGTGTGATTGATGGGTGCACTAGGGTAGAATGATATAACATCATTCCTAGTGGTTGTGTATTAATATTTGATCCCGTGTAGGATCTGCAGAACCTCGCTTGATGCGATGGTTATATTTGATCCCGTGTAGGATCTGCAGAACCTCACTTGATGCGATGGTTATATTTTATCCCGTGTAGGATCTGCAGAACCTCGCTTGATGCGATGGTTATATTTGATCCCGTGTAGGATCTGCAGAACCTCGCTTGATGCGATGGTTATATTTGATCCCGTGTAGGATCTGCAAAACCTAGCTTGATACGATGGTTATATTTGATCCCGTGTAGGATCTGCAGAACCTCGCTTGATGCGATGGTTATATTTGATCCCGTGTAGGATCTGCAGAACCTCGCTTGATGCGATGGTTATATTTGATCCCGTGGAGGATTTGATAAGTGATAGGTTCATAGGAGAATCTGGCGGATGAATGAGTCGGTCCCTATGAGTTGCACTATCATCTTCAGATGATGAACGGAGAATAATCTCTAAGAATATAATAGTATATATGTATGTATGGTCTGATAGATGGGAGGATGACGTTGAAGTAAGCGTGGAGGAGTTGTACTCACTAGGGTAGGATGGCAATGTGTCGTTCCTAGTGAAGAAGTTATCGGGGTAGAATGACTGAGATGTTGTTCCCGGTAGGGCATGAGCGATATGCCCATAACCCGGAAAGAGGATTGAGGACATTAGATGAGTATTATACGAATCGCACGGCATGGTTGCGGTTGTTACATGTAATATGTATGCGTGCAGGAATTGATGGGACGCGGATAGCGAATAAATGAATGTGTAGGATATTGACTAATGGATGGATGGTTTAGTGTGAGTGTATATGTTTAAGTGTATTGGATGTGGTGAGAATTTATTATTACGCACCGTAGTGAAAAGCTGTAGAATATAGGCATTCGGTACTTGAGTATTTCTATATATGTATATATATATATATATATATATATATATATATATATATATATATATATATATATATATATATATATATATATATATATATATATATATATATATATATATATATATATATATA